TTATGTTTTTTGTGAAACATTTTGTATGAGTTGGTATTTTTTTTTTTTAATATTAAAATTAAGCATCTCAAACTATATAACAAGTTTCAGTTTAACCTAAAAATACATGCTGATTTTTTATAACGAATTCCTAAGCAAGAAAAAATTATAAATACTTTTCAAAATCGCTTTCCATACTTCATTTTAGCAGCATTCTAGTGCATAACTCAACAGGCGGATGACGTATTAGTCATGCTGACATCTTTTTTTGTCATTAAAATAAGAAATTCGGGCACCTATGTATACGGTTTTTTCTGAGGAGCACTTTTGAACCACAACCACTTTGGAATTTAAGTTACGAATTATAGCTCAGTTAATTTTAAATTCTGTTTTATAAAATGTCTACAAGGAAGTTCAAGAACATTTGTTGTAATCCTTTAAAAAAAAAATCGCACGCTTCAAAAGTCCATAAAAATAATTTGCGTCGACCGTCAAAGAATATTTGTGAAAGGTTCAAATCCTTGTGCCCGACAGATCTTTTGTGTGACTCTTGTAGACGTGATATAAATAATTTTAAAGACTCCGCATCAATTTGTGAGGAATCGGATTATTATTCTGATACTGATGACGGTGATTCCCTTTACGATTCTGACAGTGAGGTAAGTAACTAGTGTCATACTTCATTAGCATATTTCAAGCATTAATTTGATTTCTAGGAGGAAAATGGGTACAGTACCCAGTTTTTTTCAGAAATAAAAGCTCAATTTCATAATCCTGGCAAAACTCCCCAAGAAAAAATTGAGCTGTTAAAGCTTTTAGATATAAAATGGAGTATAAACAAGACAGCAAAAATGATGAATACTTCTCGATACATTGTCTCAAAGGCAAGAAAATTTCGGGAAATTAACATTCATTCTGTGAATAGCAAAGGAAATAGTAAGATGGGATTTGCGTTTAATATAAAAAGCACTTAACAAATTCAAAATTTTTATAGAAAAGGCTCTTTCTGCAGAAACAATAAGTATGGTCAAAGAATATTTCGAGCACGATGACATAAGTTCCCTCATGCCAGGACAGAAAGATAAGAAATCTGTTAAAATCGATGGAAAATCTGTAATTTTTCAAAAACGTCTTGTGTTAGGGAATCTGAAAGAAATTTATTCAAAATTCGTTAAAGATAATCCTAATGTGGCAATTGGCCTATCCAAATTTTGTTCTCTTAGACCACCACATTGCATTTTAGCAGGTTCTGGAGGCACGCATAACGTCTGCACGTGCCCTATCCATGAAAACATAAAACTTATGACATTAGGTAAGAAATTCTTGGAAAATTTACATGCAAAAATTATTAATTATGTGTATATGTATGTGTTTTCAATATTTTTAGGCAGTAATTTGGTGCTTTTAATGAAAAAAGAGGAATATCCAGTAGTTAATTACGAAGATGTTATAATGCTGTCGTTGTGTCCCAATCCGAAGGAGGAATGTTTTTTCAATATGTGCAAGGAGTGTTCAATCTCAAAAACACTGGAGGGTTTGATTAGTGCAATATTTCAAAAATACGAAATTAATGAAGTTACTTACAAAAATTGGAATTCACAACCTAGGACAACGTTGAAAACCATTTGTATTTCTACCGAAACGTTTATCCAAAATTATTGTTTGGCTAGCGAAACATTTCTAATGCATTCATTTATAGCAAAGGAGTAAGCCAATTATTATAAAACTTTGAAAAACAACTTAGAGATCGACCAA